GCTGCATGCCAGGCACTGGTCATTAGCATTTTACACACGTGTTGGAATCCTTTGAGGACGTTTCTCCTATTTTTATGACCCCATTTTACTGGGGAAGACAGTGAGGTTAGGGAGATTATGGACTTGCATAGGGTCGTTGTGATGGTTGGTTCTGTGTGTCCCCTTGGCTGGGCTAAGGGATGACCAGAGAGCTGGTACAACATTTCTGGGTGTGTCTGTGAGGGTGTTTCTGGAAGAGATTAGCATTTGAATGGGTAGACTGAGTAAAGCAGATGGCCCTCCCCAGTGTGGGTAGGCCTTATCCAATGTGTTGAGGACAAAAAGACAGACAAACGGCACATTCACTCTCTCTGCTTGAGCTGGAATATCTACCTTCTGCCCTCAGACTCCAGGACATTGGTGCTCCCAGTCCTCAGGCCTTTGGACTCAGACAGGGACCATACTGGACAGGGACTACACCGCTGGCTCCCTGCTTCTCGGGCATTTGGGTTTGGACTGGAATTACACCACCAGCTTCCCTGGGCCTCCAGCCTGCGGAGGGCAGATCATGGGGCTTCTCAGCCTTCATAGTCGCCTGAGCCAATCCTTCATGGCAAATCTCTGTCTATCTATCTATCTATCAGTCTGTCTATCAGTCTATCTATCTAGCTAGCTAGCTAGCTAGCTAGCTATAGTCCTATTGGCTCTGGTCTCCTCTGGAGAACCCTGATTGTACAGTCATCCAGTAAATGGCAGAGCCCGGATTTGAACCCACATTCTTGTGACCTCAGAGGTGAAGCTCTTAACGACTACATTCTAAAGACACGATCCCCACCCCCTAGGATCTTATAGTCTGGTTTGGGTGACCAAGTGAACAAACAGAAAATGAGAAGGAAGGGCTGTGCTGTGTGCCCAAGAGAACAAGCGAGGGGATCTAGACGGACAGCTTGGAGACGCCGTCCAAGATGGAGCCATGGTCAGGAAGATGGAGGCTCGGGTGTGGGGGAAGTGGAAAGGCCTCGCTGTGTGCCTTTGAAGGTTAAGAACTGATGAAGGAACCTCTCCAAGGCTCAGTTTCCTCCTCTGAAAAATGGGGACAAGACCCACCTCCTCATTTATTGCGACTGTCAAATGAAATAAGTTGGTAAAGAGCTTAGTGTGGGCTTGGCTCGTAGGAAGCGCTCAGAAGATACTCCTGCTGTTCTTCATTGTTGGCGTGGTTACTGCTATTATGATTATTAAGCAGGTACTGTCTTAGGTGCTGGGCAACCAAGAGGCATAAGACCCAGCCTCGAGGCGCTTAGCATCTGGTGAAGGAGAGACACGTGGGAACAGATCATCTCCACGTTGCTTGTCTGCTTTTCTGTGCACTCCCTACTCCTGATGGTGAGTAGTCAAGCAGATACGGTCAGGTGGGTAACATCAGTGAATATTTTTAAATGTAACGCAGTACGTGCCACATGAGAGTGGTACCCAGGCTGCGGTTTGGTGGGGTTCAGTTGGTCTAGGCCAGGCTCGGTCCGTTCTGCAAGTTGGGTCCTGGTTTGCTCTACCTGTTTCTCTTTCTTCCGGGCGAAGCGGGCTCCCCAAGGGCGTGTTTTCCTCATGGCAGTGTCAGAATTGCAAAGGCGCAAGCTCATGGCACACACTGTGGTCTGGCTGGCCAGGCCAAGTCACATGGCCAAGCCCAAGGTCAGAGGGGCGGGAAGTATACTGCGCTACCTCTAGTGAGAGAAACTGCAAGTTTGCATGGCCACGGGCATGGATGCTGGAAAGGGTGAAGAATTGGGAAACGCAGTGTATTTCACACTGGAGTGTGGGGGAGAAGTAGGCTGTAGCCACAAACGTCTGCCCTTGGCCTGGAAGGTGTCTTGTTTTCCAGGAGACGGGCCCGGCCGTGGCAAAGTGCCGTCCCCCTTGGCTCTGTGCCCACCACCCAGACTCCTAAAGGCCTCTGCGGCGGGAGAGCCCAACTCTGGCTCCAGCCAGCTCTGCCTTTTATTGAGTCTGCCTCTGGCTCATTATTTACATCGACTGTAAAATAAAGCTTAACTCAAAATTACCGTTAAGTCGGTGCATCCAAGTGAAGCCGGCCGCTGGACCTTCACAGTTGAAAGCAGACTAAATAAAAGGGGGAGGGAATAAAGAGAAGAGCTGCAAATAAAATGTCAGGGAGTGCTTAATGATATAAAGGTTACGCGTCTGCCTGCAGCGTTGTCTGCAGTGGCCAATGGCAGCAGCTGGCAGAGGAAGCTGGTCTCCAGTTCTGTTTATGTGTTTATCTGCTGCCTGTCACCGTAATGGCTACAAGCAGTATTGATTGCAAATTAATTTTGCCTCATTCCTTCTCTTTCTTGGCTCTACCCTTACGACTACCGCCCCCACTGAAATAGAAAACTTATTTGAATACATGGCAAACACCTGGAGATTTGGGGGGGCAGAGTCCACCAAGTAACACACAAACACTTGTGTGCCTGGCACTAGCCTCGGTGCTTTTTACATGGATAACTGACTCTTCTAATGTTCACAACAACCCTATAAGGCAGGTATTATTATTATTCCTGTTTTACAGATGAGGATATTGACGCCCAAAGAGGTTAAGTAACTTGGAAAAGTCACACAGTTTGGGATGGCAATTCCCTTAACGATGGCCCTCCTGACTGGGCTCTGCAAGGTGGTATTTGGGGAGTTCTTTCACTGCACTCATCGAGCTCTACCAAAGACATCAATGCCCTGTGTGTTCCAGCTCCCACATCTTTTCCTGATATTCTCTGCCTTGACCAACTGGATCCAGCCACACTGGTCTCCTTTCCATTTCTTGGACATACCAAGCTCTTCCCTGTCTGAGGGCCTTTGCAGGTGCCGTGACTCTGCCTAGAACCCCACCCCTGCGAGGACCACAGCTTCCCTGGTCACTCTCCCTAAGCAGGCTGTCCTTCCCTTGCCCTTAATATTCTTGGTCACAGCCTCCTATGTTTTTTCCTGGGGCAGTTTTTAGATTTGTTTATCTGTTATTGAGGTCTTCCCTCTGGTCTGTAGATTCTGTGCAAGTGGGGGTCATACTTGTGTGCTCATCTCTGTGCTCCCAGACCTGGAACTCAGAGGCAGTTGGAGAGCTTCAGAGCAGAGCTCTGGAAGCAACTGCCTGCGTTCACATCCTCACTCCACCACTTACTCTAGACTGTGTGACCTTAGGCCAATGACTGTAGCTTTCTGTCCTCTCTTTCTCCCTCTGTAAAATGGGGATAATGATAGGGTCGTTATGTAGAGCGAATTAAGTCATCCATAAAAATACTTCCAGTACAGTGAGCATTCAACATATGAACTGCTGTTATTGTCATTGTTATTCATATTATTATTGTCAGCAGCACATATTGGACAGTCAGTGTTGGCTGAATGGCTGAATGAATGAATTTCCATTTGTAGAAGGGGAAACAGAGGCCCAGCAGGTCGATGGGATTGTTGTGAGCTTGACACAGTGACTGCAGGGTTACTCTGTATCTGGTGCTGCTCCCCACGCCCGAGCACTCAGTGTCTAAACCCGGTCCTGCTGTCTGAATTAAGTAGGTTTGGGGGACTGCCCTCTGTGCGAAGTTCTGTCAGTCCTTTTGGGGGAGTCAGACAGGTGATTTTGTTGGTGGAGAATGATGTTTTCCTGCTCATGCTTTGGGCAAGATGATTCCAGGCCATATGGAAGGTGCAGCTGGTGGGCTCTGTGATCCTGTTCCATCCCCTCCGACAGCCCCCCGCTCAGTCTATCATGCAAGGCATCTCCTCTTGGAAGGCGTCTGATGGAAGAGGCTGCAGGCTTGTGTTGGGCACAACCAGGGACAAAGAAGGCCGGTCGGAGCTGCTGTGTGTGGTGACCGTGCACGCCCTGCCTCTCCTCACCCATCATTTGCAGTCTATTTTGCAGGGTCCAGTCCTCTTTTTCACTCTCATCCTTGCTTTCTGAGGCCTCAGCAGGCTCCCTGCAAGGAGCGTTAGCACTCTCCCACTGCCCTCCCTCCCTTTCTTCTCCTCCCTCCTCTTGGCCTCTGCTGCCTGCTCCTTCCACCCACTCTGCTGGCTCTCAGGGGCATGGCATCACCCTTCAGTTCCTAGACGTGGGCCTGCTCTTCTTGGCACTCTTTACCATCTCCAGGCCTGTGCCCAGCTCCTAAAGCGAAGCTTACACCACTGAGAGCAGGGTTTGCTTTGTCCCAGTGTAATCGCTCATCCTTCCTGAGATGCTCAGCTCGCTTATTAAAGAGAGTAAGTGATCGCAGAGACCCCGCCAGCCTCAGTTCAGCCACTCCCCACTTCAGAGGAGTGGGGGGAGCCTGGCCCTTGGAGTGGTCAGCCATGGGGGGCTGGTTTCCAGAAGCCAGCTGGCTGTTGGCTGTGGTTTTGGGGCAAGGAATTCTGGTGCCTGGGTCATCCACTGGGGCTGTGGCCTTGTTTGGGTTTTCCAGCAGAAGCTTGTTAACATTTCTAATAACAGCACGCTGGGTGGTCTAAGCTGGGTGTTTAGACTGCGGGGATTCCAGTGTTCCTGGTGTTATGTGGCACATCTGTGACTTTAATTGCTGTTGAAAGGAAGAAAGAACTCTGTGGAGTCATAATCTACGGAGGACCTATGTTGCAGGAGCTGTGGGTGTCTTGAATGGCTGAGTAATTTAACCATGTGTAATTCGCAGCGTGAACCCCACTGCCAAGTGCGCGGGTCCTGCGAGCCCGATTCTCTAGACAGCAGTGTGCGGGATCAGCCTGGAGGAAAAGTTGCAACATGTGAGCGGTGGTCATCCTGGTGGTGGACCACTGGGGACTTTTACATCTAGTTGTAGGCATTTTTCCATTTTTTTACACTGAGCAAATTACTTTCATGTTTTGAAAGAAAGATATACTTTAAAAATAAATAACACACACTCCTGAACACTTGATTTTGTGATCTTAATAAAGAAGACTGGAAAAATGACTGTTAGCTTCTATCTTTATTTTACTATTTATGTATATTAAGGAAATACAGATCTTCTTCGACTTACGATGAGGTTACGTTCCAATAAACCATCGTAAGTGGACAATATCACAAGTTGAAAATGCATTGAGTAAGAAGTTGAACAAGATCAACAGTTTTCAAAGGTTTTTTTTTTTTCCTGAGGAATATTTGCCATGAGCTAACATCCATGCCGGTCTTCCTCTGTTTTTTAGTATGTGGGCCACCAGCACAGCATGGCCGCTAACCGAGTAGAGTAGGTCCACACCCAGGATCTGAACCCAGGCCACCAAAGCAGAGCGTGCTGAACTTAACCACTAGGCTACTGAGGCTGGCTCACAGGGATTTTTTTGTGTGTGTGTGAGGAAGATTAGCCGTGAGCTAACATCCGTTGCCAATCTTCCTCTTTTTGCTGAGGAAGATTGTCCCTGAGCTAACATCTGTGCCCATCGTCCTCTATTTTGTACGTGGGACACCTGCCACAGCATGGCTTCATGAATGGCATAGGTCTGTGCCCAGGATATGAACCTGTGAAACCCCGGCCGCTGAAGCAGTGTGCGTTACCTTAACCACTACGCCACTGGGCTGGCCCCACGTAGATTTTTTTGAAGAAGTAGAAACCTTTACACATGCACAGTGTCATTTCACAAGCTGATTTAAGTGTGTGTGTATTTCAAAAGTAAAAAATGAAAAAAAACTAAACAGTCCATTATAATGTAGACATATTTATCCTTCAGTAAATCTTTGAAGTAAGATGAATCCCAACGCTGACCTTGTCTCAGAGCTGTGCATGTCAACAATAGAGTAACTCCCATGCTGGAACCCACTGTTGCAAAGTTAAAAAATTGTAAGTCAATCAGAAGGCTTGGAGGCCTTAGGTACATTCGGATTATAATTACAAAATGAGATAACATCCCACTAAATTGTTCCATAGAATAAAAATTACCAAGAATATTTTTCTAATATGATCTTTTTCACGTTGTATTACTAAGCTAAAATGCCGACAGAAAAACTGTATACAATATATCAATTTTGTATATTATATGTATGCCAAGGAAAAAAATGGAAGGCTATAGACCAAAATGTTAATGGTGGTTATCGCTTACCTGGTAAAATTATGGTTGATTTAAAAAATGTTTTTCTTTTATACTTTGGTATTTTTCCCCCAAGATTTCTGCAATAAGCACATGTAAGTTACTTGTATAAAAAGAAAATAAACACATTAATTTTTTAAAAAGGAAAAAAAAATTGTAAGTCAAACCATCGTAAGTCAAGGACCGTCTATATTAATATAATGAAACTGCAGGTTTGCATTGGAGTTGGGGCTTGGTTGAATGGGTGTTTGAAAAAGTATCAGTTATGAATAGTTTATTGTGAAAGTTAGAATCAGAAAATAAAAGAGCACTAGAGAGGAAGGGGTTTTCACACTTATATTTTTGAATTTATGTAGTATGTGCTGTTTAACCCTGGGCTGATTCCTTGTTTTCTCTGTGCCTTACTTTGCCCATCTGTGAAATGGTATTGGCTCATAAATCATTCTTCACATGAAGTGAATTACTATTTGTGAAACTCTTCGAATGAGGCTGGAACATAGCAATTACTCAGTTAATGCGTTCTGCTGCTGGGTTACTCTCGTGATATTTAGGCTTTTCGCTACAGTTTATGCCTCCACATCAGAAGTAGCAGCAGCAGTAAAGTTACAATAGGAAATTAAGTTACGTGGATAGAGTTCCGACCACATCTGAGCCACCATGCTCAGTTTTTTATTTAGATGATCTCGTTTGCCCTTCACATCAACTTTGTAGCATTTGTTCTGTTACTATCTTCACGTTATAGATTAGCATGCAGAGGCTCAGAGAGGTTAAGGAACCTGCCCAAGATCACACAACTTGTAAGAATTTGACCCTGACTCCAGAGCTCATGCGCTGGATCACTATGTTCTGTTACCTTGTCTTGTTCTCTGGTAGGTGCCCGAGAAGGCAGTTGACTTTGCTTTCCCTGGCATTCCTGCTGGGGGTCCAAGGTCCTCCAGCTGAGGTATTTTAATGCCGTTCCAAAGGGATATGCCGGGAGTTTCTCCCACTGTGTGCCCAAAGCAGAGACTTGGCCACCTCTGGGTGGGTACGCATCTGGGGAGGCAGGGGCTGCTTCACACCCCCTGAGCTGAGGCATCAGGCAGCGGGAGGTTCATAACTTAAATGCCACGTACTGATGGCAGAGGTATAAAGCAGTTATACTGCTTGCCATTAAACTCAGAATGGGAATTGAACGTTGAGTAATTAATTTCCTGTTTGTAGTTCGGTGTCTAGGCAAACAGTTCATCAGCATCTGTATAAATACCCACACGATAGGAGTCAGGACCAGCGGGAGGGGGCTCCTCTGCCTCCTGTTAGCTGGGGAATGTTGGTCCATCTCACACGTTTAACGGTGACTTTCTCTGCCTGGCTCTGTGCTGGATGCTTCGACAGATGAAGATCACTCAACTTCAAGTGCACAGATGCTCCCCTGGGCCCTTGGATAGAGATGCCTGAGGGCTCTAACAAAGGGCTCTAGAAGCCTGGGAGCCACGGAAGCTGGACTCTTATCCCGAGAGCGGAGGGCCACCCCAAGGGCAGGGTCAGATTGGCACTTGTTCGCAGGGTAGAGGAGCAGTGGGCAGAGGCCGAGGTCGATACAGACCCTGGCTGGGAGGCTGCCTCTGTACTCCAAGGGCAGGCTGTTGGTGGTCTGCTTGAGGGCGGGGGAAGTGGACAGACTCAAGAGATGTTAGGGAGGTGGAAGTAACAGGACTCGGTAGTGGGTTTGATGCTAGGGGTGGGGGGTGGGTAGAGGGGAAATTGGCCCCTGTATCCAGCTTGAGAGATTGAATGGCCCTTCCCGGATGCAAATGTCTGGATCATCATGTGGCAAGGGAGAGGGTTAACTTAGAAGAGTATGGCAGTAATTCTCTGCCTCCTTCGAGCAGAAAGATAACAGTCCCTTTATCCATCCATCTGTCTGTCTATCTATCTATCTGTCTGTCTATCTGTCTATCTGTCTATCTGTCTATCTATCTATCTACCTACCTACCTACCTACCTACCTATCTATCTACCTATGTATGTATGTATCTATCTACCTATGTATGTGTGTATCTATGTATCTATATGTATGTATCTATGTATCTGTGTTCTCTATCTTGTTCACTGCTATAGTTATCAATCTATCTATCATCTATCTACCTATGTATGTATGTATCTGTCTACCTATGTATGTATGTATGTATCTATCTTATATGTCTATATGTATGTATTTGTCTATGTATCTATCTTGTTCGCTGCTCTATCTATCTATCTATCTATCTATCTATCTATCTGTCTGTCTATCTATCTGTCTGTCTGTCTGTCTGTCATCCGTCCAGTTCACTGCTGTATCCCCAGCCCCCAGGACAGTGCCTGGAACACAGGAAGCATCAGTGAGTATCTGTTGCGGGGATAATAGTAGTAATGGCTAACTTTCACCAGCTGGGACCGTGTGCTCATAGCTTACTGCGTAGTGGGAAGACAGGCATTGAGCAAGCCATTTCGAACGTGACGATTTGTGTAAGGAAATGTGTAGGGCACGGTATGAACAAGCCGGACTTCTCTGAGGAAGGGGCGTTAAGCTGAGTCCTGAACGGTGAGTAGAGTCTGAGGAGAAGAGAGAAGAGTGTTCTAGGTGGCGGCCACAGCGTGTGGGGGCCTCAGGTGAAGGGAACGTGGCCTACAGGATAGGACTCAGGCGTGAAGACTGGGAGTGAGAAAAGACCTGTCCTCAGAGGTCTGCTGGGGCTGGTCTTGGAATCGTATGAAGATCCTGAGGTCGACCCCAGGGCACGGGAGGCCGTCAGAGGGTTGGAAGGGCGGTTTGGAAGCAGAGGCGGGCGGCAGTGCTGCCTTGCCCAGAGGAGGCCAGAATGACTCACAGGGCTGTGGCGAGCGGGCGCCAGCTTTGTCCTCTGGGCCAGGATGCCCTTGAGCCCACCCTGGGATGTGTCCGAGGTTTCCTCTTCAGGTCCCTCCAGCTCCCCTGTCGTTCCCAACGTTTCGGCCCCATTCTGAGTGCCTGCTTGGTTCCAGACACTGTGCTGGGTCCTGCACACGTGGCTGGTTCAGGAGCCGTATGTTATGGTCCCCACTCGGCAGTGGTGGAAACCGAGGCTTACAGACTCGCCCAGGTTCACTCTTCTGGAAGGTGTTGGAGCTGCGTCCAAGTCCCGTGCCCACGACCTCTTTCCCTGTCAGGGACTGGCTCTCCCACTCTTGGGACTCCAGGGTCCTCACCTTGCCTGCTGCTGGCCGCAGGCCTCTGCCTGGGCCCAACACCGCGGCCCTTCCAGGATGCACGCACCTGGCTTCGTCTGGAGTCCACGCTGAGCCTCGCAGGTCTCAGCTCGCTGGAGTGGCGGACAGCCAGAGGAGCAGCTCTGCCCGCTTCGGCGTGAAGGAACGAGGAGCCTCTCTGAGCGAGTCCCGCCTCGCGCAGCTCTCGGCCCACCTTTAATCCAGGTTTCAGTGTGGGTCTCTTGCCTCGCAACACAAGGGAATTGCAAATGGTGAGATTCGAAGCGGCAGCAGACGCATTAGAGAGCTAGTTTGGGGCACAAGACCTTTGTCTGTAGGAGAGTAACCTGCTTCAGAGCCGTCTCAAAGATGGGAAGTCGGCATTTACATAAGGCGAGGTTTTCATAATGAACTGAGGGGTGAGCTGCCTGGCTGTGTCCTGCATGGTCCTGGAGCCAGCCAGTTTGTAAAATGATGAACTTTTTAGTTACTTTGGGGCTGGAGGGCATTATACCAAAGCAAGAAATGGTTCCTGATTGCGTTTTTTGTGTTTATTTTTATGAATGAAAATGCTGTCCCTATTATTGGGGATGATTTGCCTTTTTTTCCAATTCTTTTTTTTTATTGTGGTAAAATATATGTGACATAAAATTGATCATCTTAACCTTGTTTAAGTGTACAGTTCAGTAGTGTTCGTTTATTCACGTGATGATTTGCCTTTTGAAATCCATAAAAGAAAGCCTGGGTATATTTTGTCCAGAGAGGAAAAACAAGCATATAGTATTAGTTCCTTGACTACTACTAACATTTGGGTAGCTTATTCCAGTTTGTGTAGTCTGTCACACATCTTGCCTCATTGTACCCAGATGGGGAGTGGGGTGGGATGGACGAAGGACAAAGGAAACCAAGGTTTCCAGCATGTTCTAGTGCCATCTAGTGTCTGTGGGGCCCATGACAGCCGGGCTGAGGCTGTTGGATCTGTAAACCCAAATGGCTTTAAGAGAGCACCGAGGAGATGTTTGTCTTTTACATCAGCTGATATTTTTCCCAGCTCTGATCTCTCAGAAACTTGCAACTCAAATCCGTTTCATTAACAGTCAGAGCAGTTTGTCCCTTTGAAGCTCAGACGGGGTAAGATTAATATGAACCCGATATTAAGCTATTAAGCGTCAATTTGGTGAACCTATTTATAAAGGAGAGCTGAAGACAGAAAATAAAGAAGGCTGCATGAGGGGGCTCCTTTGCCAAGTCTGCTCTCTCTCCTGGGAAAATGTGACTCAGTAACCAGCTTTTGTGCGAGAGAAGAGAAAGAAGAAAAAGTGTACGTGTGTGTGCGTGCATGTGTGCATGAGCACTGCTTTGATGATGTGTGTTATTCTAGTAGTAG